CAACTGATAGTTGGGAGTCTTCCCAAAAGCTACCACAACAAAGCTCTGTATGTACATACAAAATGTTTCTCACTAGCTAGTCATTTATAAATTATAAGAGAATTCAGTTCATACAGACACTCCAACTGGTAGTTAGAAGATTTAAATAGTACAGGATGAAGTCCTTTTGTTTAATTCTTAGAAGGTTAGAAGTCAAAATATACAGTTTTGGTCTAATGACAGAGCCATTGTAGTGTTGTAGCATTGATCTCAGACATAGAGGGCCCAGTCCAGATAGAGCTCCAGGTAACCTTGAATCAGATATGCTCCTTGTTCCCGGCATGAGGTATATGCCCTACAAGGGAACAATTCGATTTTTAAGGGGGGCAATTCAAGAATAAGTTATTTTTAAATGATTTCTTAGTGATGTCTTCCTCAGTCCTTCAACTGTACTTCTCTTCTTTTATTTTTCTCTTTCAGGGATGCCATGTTGTGCCTTTGATTAGGCTGTTCCAAAGAATTGGGCTTTAATACCTAAGTTCCAGCACTTTAGCATGGCCCTCCGCTCTATAGTCCTGACATTATAAAGCCCAAGGACATTATTCTCCCATCCCTGCCACTGAATTTTGCACTTTCCTTTAGCTCTATCTAGGAATTTTGCACAAACTCAGAGCCCTCTGAACTCGGCACTTTTATTGCTCCCATGGTACTGTTTTCATGATGTTATGTTTATTGTGATATGTTTCTATTTGGTTTTGTTTTGTTTTTATTTTATTGCATTACGTTTTAACTCTGTGCTCTCTGGGCTTGTCCCATTGTAAGCCACCCCGAGTCCTTTTGGGGAAAAGGAGGCGGGGTATAAAAATAAAGTTTATTATTTTATTTATTTATTTATTTGAAACACGACAAGATGAATCCACAGCGGACACTCTGCTGGATGTTGAATTGGATCACACATCGGTCACTTCCCAAGTGTCTAGGACTGTGTGATGTATCGGTGAATAATGCCTGCAGATCCCAGTAAGGTGGCCTTCTGCAGCTGGCAGATGGTAATTTTGTCAGTGCCGATTGTGTTTAAGTGCAGGCCAAGGTCTTTAGGCACTGCACCCAATGTGCCAAAAACCACTGGGACCTCCTTGACTAGCTTGTACCAGAGTCTTTGCAGTTCAATGATGATGATGATGATGATTATTATTATTATTATTATTATTATTAAACTTGTTTAGACTAAGTTAATGGCTTTTTAGGGGTTCACTTTATAATAAGAATTATATGCCTATGTGAGCCGCATCGAGTCCTACGGGAGATGCTAGCGGGGTACAAATAAAGTTAATAATAATAATATAATAATAATGTCACCAGGGAGAGGGGGGTAGAGATGCTTATGTGGGACATCACCAAAAAAGGATTGGGAACCACTCAAATAAACCATTTTAGCACTGAGCCTGGCAAATGGTGAAGCAAAGAAACCCCTTAAGCTCAGTATGTCTGATGTGACAACTCTTTATTATAGGAATATAATCTGTCTTTTACTGAACAGCCATAGAACACTTTAATGCAAGGCAAGTCTTGCTTAAAACAATCAGAGCAAGTGCTTATATATATTTGCTCCAAAGATGCTGCAGTGCAGGAAAAGCCGGAGCTCTCATTAGAATGCCATCCGGCCATTGCTCATTCGTTGCCCACTGCATTCTAATGAGGGCCATGCTTCTTCCTCTGATCCCTGCATTTCCAGAATTAACTGCACAATGACTAGTGGTGTCTTCTTACAAAGAGACATCAGGGTGCTGTGTTAACAGAATAAGAGTATATAAAAAGCCTTGTCGGTGATTACTTGAATTTCATGGGGATGGGTAAGGAATTGATTTGTAGAGGAGTTAAATGTTTGTGATTTTGCTTTGCTTTTTCAGCAGCTGACTTGGGCTATGAAGGGGAAATGGATTCCAAGTTTGCTTTTTATTAGTAGTTGCATTAACTTGCTTTTCTTTCAGTGATGGTAAAATACAGAGGTGTGGTCATGTTAATGTGGATCAGTAGACAAAGGGATCTTGCAAAACATTTGAAATTAACTGAGAGAAGTCGGTAGCCCAAACTTTCAAGTCTATTTCGTCAGATGCTTTACCACTCCATGGATCTGACTGAATAGACTTAAGTCTAAAAAAGCTAATGCTGCCAATTATTTTCTCTCCATTAGTCCCAAAGGTCCTGCAAGATTCCTTTGCATACTTTCCTTCAATGAGTTCAGTATCCTCACAAGAACCATGTGAGGTGAGTAATGGTATTTAAACGAAACAACTGACCTAAGGTTACCCAGTGACTTGCAGGAGTAGCAGCTCGCCCATATCTCAACCCAACACTCTAATCTACTCTACGTCACACTAGCTCTCCACCCACAAATCCACTCCCCATTGCCTACAGTTAGTATATTTCAGATAGAAAAACAAAAGCAAAGTAAAGTACAAGATTCTCCAAATGATTGGAGCCTTGTGCCTGTTGGAAGAGAACAAGGGAAGTGAAGTGGATGTCCTGGGAATGAATCCAGGCTTCTGTGCTTTCCCAGATGTGAAACTTAACTTTGTTTCAGCAGTCCAATTATGTACATTTTCATTCAGGAATACTTATTTTCCATACTTATGTGCTTATTTATTGGTCCTAAAATATTTACATCAGCCTGTTCTGTTTCACTTCTGGGACACACAAGGCAGCTATCACTTCTGTCTGTCCGTCTGTCTGTCTGTCTATCATCTTTTTATAATAAATGAAACCTTTACCCCTTTTTTCACCCAATGTCATCCATAATTCTTTTACTTTTGCTAATTAAAGTGTTATGTGGTTCTTAAACTTGACAGAAAGGCCAGAAGAAAGAGTGGGGCGGGGTGGGGTGGAGAGGGAATGTCACAGTCAGACCTGAATGATGTCATCAAAGGACATATGTCTTGTTGGCAACCTGTGTGTCAGGATGTCCTCTTCTCTATAATCAAATCATAAGAATGCACGAGCCATTCGTTTGCAGCAGTCATTTCAAGGATATTCCAGCCTTACTTTAAAGCACTTAGTCCTTGGGAATCCAGACAACCCTGGAGTGATGTTATATGTTAGAAAACCTTAGTGGAACAAAATTTGTCTTACTGTAGTTTGGGATCCTTGTTCTTTCTGAATCCTCTCATCTAGATAACAACTCTGAAAATGTTGTAAAGGAAATAGCACCCTGTTTTGCTTAAATTTATTTTGCCAAGACCAAAGAGGAAGTTTTATCAGATAAGAATGTCACTCTGTGCTTAACCTTTTTGGGTGTTGTAAAAGTTCTTCATTCAGAGAAAGATAAAAAAAGATTGGAATGGATTGAGGCTTTAGGGCAGCAGGTGCCTGGCAGATTGAGCTTAGATCAGTTCAATTACAGAAGTGGACCTAAGAACCCACCCTGTCATCTGATAGGATGCTGACATAAACCATTGGATGTGCTCCAAGCTCAGCATGGAAGGAATATTCATTCTTATTCATTTCCAGGTCAAAGGATGAGAGAAATCTCATTTGGGAGGACAGATCAACAAGACCCTGCACAATTATCTCCCAGAAATTACTCTGTGTAGAAAAAGACATGCAGTGGACACCTGCATGAGCATTGTGTAACTTTGGTGCTACATCCGTGGAGGCACTGCTCTCTCTCCCTCGACCGTCTCAAGCACAGTTGGTGGGGACGAGGGAGAGGGCCTTCTCAGTGGTGGCCCTCCGGCTCTGGAATTCCCTCGCTATGGGAATCAGAAAGGCTCCTACTTTGTCCTCTTTCTGGAAACAGCTAAAAACCTGGATGTTCCTTTTGATTAAGCAGTCCACTAGTATTTGTCCTGCCCCTATTATTGTCCACCTTAGCACTTTTGATGACAGTATCTCCAGCCCTGCCTACTTGTTTGTTGCACTTTCCTTGCGCTCCTTCAGAATGTATTGCACTCACTGAATCTGTACCTCAACTGTTTTTTCTCTCAGCCATATTGTTTTGATGTTTGTTTACAATTGTGATTGTTTTATATTTTATCTGATGTTTTTAATTGGTTGTGTTTTGTGCTTGTCCCTTGTAAGCCGCCCGAGTCCCTTCAGGGAGATGGTTGGCGGGGTATAAAAATAAAGTTATTATTATTATTATTATTATTATTATTATTATTATTATTATTACTACTACTACTACTACTACTACTACTACATAGTGGATTCTAGCCAGACCCCCAAACCCCATTTGTCGGTCCATTTTTGGTCAATCAAGAAATGTCTGATATTCCCAAGAGAGAGAGAGCAAGCAAAAACCCCTGTGCTGAATATTGCTCATGCAGAGGGGTGTCAGAATGTCAGGCAGCTTCTTCACATGCGCAGTGATCCCCGTGGCTGCTTAATGGTGTGTGGGATTTAGGGGACATTACTGATTCCTATGTATTGCCTAAACTATAGGCTACATAGAGATCATGAATATGTAGCAGTTACTAGTGTGTAACTGTAGGCAACCACAGTGTTGTTTTTTTGCCCAAAATGTTTCCCGTGAGTTCATTTATTTATTTATGCCCTTTTTATCCCATCCATATCAGCCTGAAGGTGACTCAGGGCGGCGTACAAGTCGGCACAATTAAATGCCATATATAAAAATACACACATTGGTAAAAAGCAAAAACATCACAATACATTTAAAAAACATAAAAGCAATCAACAGTAAAAATTATGAAAACTATGTCTTCTTTTGTTTTCTATGCAGAAAATAGTGTTTGCCCATGTGTTTTCTGCACAGAATAATTCCTCTGCAAGTTTACAGGCCATTCAAATACAGGGAAAATATTGTGAAGAAATTCTGTTTTTTTCCAATAGCAGGGAGAAAATTTCTGTAAATATTTACCTCTGTATATGTGAATGAAGAGTTTGAGGATGTACACCCTTGCTCTAAGCATTTCAGTTTGGGTGCCATGGGGCAGCATGTATGCATTAACTCTTTTTGGATGAATCTGAGCCTAGCTAATCTCTCCCTATTCTCTCTTTCCTAGGTTGGCCCTGGGCAACACTTTCTGTTTTTGGATTCCTCTATTGCTACTCTCATGTTGGGATTGAATGGCAACACAGATCCTCCCGGGCTTAACAAGTATCTGAGTGAAGACCATCTGAACTTTTACCAAAGGAGACCAAATATTGTAGAGATATGAATTTTTCTCTTCAATACAATACTGTGCCAACATACCAATATAGCCTGTAGTGCCTGGTGGTGTATGGATTCCATATCAACATGCACTCATCAGGATGAGACAGACCTTTGAAACTCTAGAGGACATTTAACCTAAACCGAATTGCATAAATGTTGACTTCTCAAGATCCCATTGACTCAGTTGGTCTGCTGAAATTGGGATTGCATTTTTTTTTATTTACACCATTGTCATCTACAATGAATTTTGATCTTGTTTTATGAAATAGAAATACTTTTTAAAACATTTCTCTTGGGATACTATTTAAATTATAATAGTTATTTTAATTTGTATGTCTATCTATATGCAAGAGAAGACAATGCACATTTTAAAGGAAGCTTCTTAAAGCTATTGAAAATTTCAGCACTGACTTTATAGTGCTCTGTATTTGGGTGGGGGGTTCATTCTCATATCATCCTGAAATATTTTGTTGCCTGAGAATAACAACTGGCAGTTTCATCTGACTTCCATGTTGGTGATGGAACTATTCTCCACTGTACCTAAGAAAACCAAGATTATGGCAACAAGAATGATTGACAACTGGAAAATAGAGGGAGAAAATGTGGAGGCCGTGACAGACTTTGTATTTCTAGGTGCAAAGATTACTGCAGATGCAGACTGTGGCCAGGAAATCAGAAGACGCTTACTTCTTGGGAGGAGAGCAATGTCAAATCTCGATAAAATAATAAAGAGTAGAGACATCACACTGGCAACAAAGATCCGCATAGTCAAAGCCATGGTATTCCCTGTAGTAACCTATGGATGTGAGAGCTGGACCTTAGGGAAGGCTGAAGGAAGGAAGATAGATGCTTTTGAACTGTGGTGTTGGTGGAAAGTTCTGAGAGTGCCTTGGACTGCGAGAAGATCCAACCAGTCCATCCTCCAGGAAATAAAGCCCGACTGCTCATTGGAGGGCGGATACTAGAGACAAAGTTGAAGTACTTTGGCCACATCATGAGGAGACAGCAAAGCCTAGAGAAGACAATTATGCTGGGGAAAGTGGAAGGCAAAAGGAAGAGGGGCCGACCAAGGGCAAGATGGATGGATGGCATCCTTGAAGTGACTGGACTGACCTTGAAGGAGCTGGGGGTGGTGACGGCCGACAGGGAGCTCTGGCGTGGGCTGGTCCATGAGGTCACGAAGAGTCGGAGACGACTGAACGAATGAACAACAAAAACAACATAAGAACAGCAGTCTAGCTTGGGGAGCAGAAGGCAGGTCCAAGGTCCAGAAGGCAGGTTGATTGTCTATAAAGGAAAGATGTAAAAGAAGTGGGGGAAGACTTCTTGTGCCAGCTGGCTCATTCTGCCCATGGTAGGGCCAGTTTTGATCCTAGGGCTAATTATCCTGAAATAGGAATATTTGGAGAGAGGGGAAGATGTTAGATACTTTGAAGAGAATGCTGTTGTTTATTCGTTCAGTCGCTTCCGACTCTTCGTGACCTCATGGACCAGCCCACACCAAAGCTCCATGTTGGCCACTGCTACCCCCAGCTCCTTCAAGGTCAACCCAGTCACTTCAAGGATACCATCCATCCATGTTGTCCTTGGCCAGCCCCTCTTTCTTTTTCCTTCCATTTTCACCACTGTCATTATCTTCTCCAAACTTTCCTGTCTTATCATTATGTGGTCTTTTCTTGTCTTTTTTTCCCTCCACTTCCTCATATCCCTCTTTCCCTTTACCTATTTTTACCCTCCCCTCCCTTCTTCTTCCACTTTTCTTTTTTATTTCTCCTTCTACTACTACTCTCTTTTCTTTCATTTTCTACTCTTTTAAACTATTATGCATTATTGAAAACGAATAAAGAATATTTTTTTAAAGAAAAAAAGAAAAGAGTAAACTTTTTTTAAAAAAACTTAATTTTTCTATCCCTGATTTCACATATGATTTTAGAAGGGAAAGGAGTTTTTGGATTCCGTTTCAAAAATATTTCTGATGGTCACACTTTTGTTGCATGTAGTAGAGAAACCATTAAGTGGCTGAATATCTATAGGTTTCCACCCCTCTGGGGTCATTAATTTGGAATAATATATCCAGGAGAGGATGAAATCAATAAGGACACTGTAAAGGAAAGGTTGAGAGAAAGGTTTGTGCCTGGCAAAGGAACAAATGAATCACAGATTAGCAAGAGACTTGTCCAATAAATCATTTAAAGTGACTTTTTGTATACTCACACCTTTGTATCATCATGAAGGGAATACTGGATGGGATGCTATTAGAGATTTATCTCTGCAGGGATTAGAAGTGGGCAGTCCTATAACATCCATCTTCAATAAAGGGTTGTGATGCACATTGGTTCTGCGGTGTGTTGGTCTCATCATGCACTGGAATACTGATGAGAAAGTGACAGTGCATATTGGCAGTGCCCAATATTTTCTTAATTGTGATACAAAAGTGTCATTGTACGAAAATTCACATGGCTGTGTCCTGTTACTCATCTCTACAATTCACTAGCATGGTTTCTTAGTGCCTCTGCTACAAAGCAAAATTACTCAACATACTTTGTGATGGAGGATTCAAGCCATTCATTTTGATCATCTGCTATAAACACCAGTTTGAAAGCAAGCCCATTTATCCCTTGTAGCAGGTGTGCCATCTGTCCATCTGATGTTCTGCCATGGAGCAAAATGACAGGATCTTGGCCCAAAAAGTAGACGGATGGGTTTCACAACTAGTCTACTGCTTCTTTTGTAACAATCCTGGAAATCCACCAAGTTGCGGATTTGGAAAAGGCTTTTTTGTTGTTGAGAACTGGACTGAACCTCTGGCCTGTGTCATTTCTCCATCTGGGTATAGTATATACATCCAGATATTTGAGTGGCAGTCTCTTTCCACAAACAGTAAAAATACTTTTGAAATTCATAGAGTTGATTCATCAAACCTGCATCACATAAAGAAGAGATTATCATCATAGCAGGTTGAATACACAAAGGATCATTCATCTATGATGGCAGAAATGTATTGTCGAAGGCTTTCATGGCCGGAATCACTGGGTTGTTGTAAGTTTTTCGGGCTGTATGGCCATGTTCCAGAAGCATTCTCTCCTGATGGTTCACCTGCATCTATGGCAGGTATCCTCAGAGGTTGTGAGGTCTGTTCGAAACTAGGACAATTGGGTTTAAGTATCTGTGGGATGTCCAGGGTGGGAGAAAGAACTCTTGTACGTTGGAGCTAGGTGTGAATGTTTAATTGGCCAACTTGATTAGCATTTGATGGCCTAACAGTTTTTAGGTGCGGCTTGTTAGTGCCTGAGGGAATCCTTTGTTGAGGGGTGATTAGCTGTCCCTGACTGTTTCTTGTCTGGAGTTCCCATGTGTTTGAGTGTTGTTCTTTATTTGCTGATATAGTCTTAGTGTTTTTTAAAATACTGGTAGCCAGATTTTGTTAATTTTCATCATTTTTTTCCCTTTCTGTTGAAATTGTCCACATGCTTGTGGATTTCAATGGCTTCTCTGTGTACCCTAACATGCAGAAATGTTACATCACCAGACTTGGTTTGGTTCCAGAACCCTTCAAATATCAAGTATTTTTATGTGTTATGATGTAGTAAATTGTGATCTTATATAAAATGACAAAGTCAAGGTTTGCTTTTTTCTTTACTTTTAAATCTTTTTAAGCTGTGAATGGTTGAATCCATGGATGCATCACCTGTGAATAAAGAGGAAGAATTGAATCAAGAGAAGCAGTTGAAGCAGGACTCCTGCCTGTTTTCAATGCCCACTGTAACAAAAAGATAATTACAGATGCCATTTCTGAGTCCCCTGATTTGCAGCACCATGGAAACCTTCGGTAGGCTTAAGGAGAGTGACATTGTTAGACATAGCAATATCTGCTCTATAATTCTAGTTACATCTGACCATACAGAATTTCAGTGAACATTTTTCACAATGCTTTGAGAGCCCCAATATGTATGGCTATGTGTTACAAATTATATTTGTTTCCATGTGAAATGTAGGCATGTAGAATGGGTAAATCCATTAAAAATATGGGTAAGAAAATGTTGCATGCAGCTCTACATCCCACTATTTGTGGTGCAAATGTGAACATGTCTAGCAATTCTGTAACTTTATTCTTTGCACAGATTTTTTTTAATGTTTACTAACAGCACTGCCCAAAGAAGTCCAAAGAAGGGAGGTATGAAAAAATACAGCAGTTGGTAGTGCTAGAACTAGAATACTTACATTTGTGAGTGAATTAGAAGAATCTGTTCACCTAGCTTCCATGCTTAAATAAGAGGTAACTGAAAAAATAAGGGTATAATTTTCCATTAGAAATATCCCCCCCCCCAAAAAAAAAATATCCATATCGTTATACCACAGAGTTTCTGAGTGAGGTTTTTCCTGAATACATTGGCTTCATTCTGTATGTAGGAGACCCCAGTGGTGCAGTGGGTTAAATCCTTGTGCCGGCAGGACTGAAGACTGACAGGTTGGAGGTTCAAATCTGGGGAGAGCATTGATGAGCTCCTTTTGTCAGCTCCAGCTTCCCATTCAGGGACATGAGAGAAGGCTCCCACAAGGATGGTAAAACATCAAAATATCCAGGCATCCCCTGGGCAGCACCCTTGCAGACGGCCAATTCTCTCATGCCAGAAGTGACTTAGTTTCTCAAGTCGCTCCTGACACACAAAAAATCTGTATGTAGGACTAGGTATCAAGGTCTCAACAAAACATTCTATCCTGCAGTAGCTTAAAGTATTCCTGAAGAGGAACTGAATTGTCTCCATATGCTAGTATGAGACAAAGACCAATTTCTTACCATTGTATTGATATAATTAGTCTAATTGATGTCTTCTTTAATTCTGCCTTGATTACAGATGGTGCACCAAGCTTTGCTCCCCTATCAGTTTCAGATCAGAGAATTCAAAGCTGCTTAGTTTGACTAATCTGCTTAAAATAGGTCAAAAGGAAGAAGAGCTAACCTTTTCATTAAAAAAATCCAGACAGTCATAACAAAAGCATTATAACATTCCTTACCCTGTATAATATATCCCTTGAAATATGTTCTGTATGTCAACCTTTTATTGTGCATTTCCCCTAGAATTTCTGGAAATGCTATACACAAACTTTCTGGCAATAAATTGAAATGGTTTGAATAAGCTAAATTTTTGTATTTAAATGAATCAGGTATGGGCTAGTACTGGAAGATTAGACTTCAAATTCCCACTCATCCATGATGCTTATGAATTGATCTTCTTTATTCTAGTTTCATCTTCACCTGCAGTTAACATGAACAAAAAATAAATAAAAGATAGATAGATGATAGAATGTAGAATCATACCTCAACGACTTAAATCTAGAAATAGTTTTCTAAGATCTACAGAGACACTTGCTGGAACACCTCAGTAAGCAAGAGTCCAAAAGTGGCAGGCTCAAACCCAGAACCTCAACAAATGGCTGATACCAAATGAGAGACTCCCCCCTGGGCACACAGAGGACTGGGCGACTTGGAAGGCGCTGAACAGACTGCGCTCTGGCACCAAGATGCAGAGCCAACCTTAAGAAATGGGGCTACAAAGTGGAATCCTCGACATGCGAGTGTGGAGAAG